ATTGTTGTTGTTGTTTAAAAAAAAAAAAACGGATTGTTTGTTTATCGTTTAATTTTATTACAACCAAACGTATTACAATGATTCACCTTCCTGGTTTAATGGTGACAATGTCCGTGGCGCGCTTTCACAAATCTTCTGGAGATGTATGAATGCAATCTGATCTGTAAAATGGTTCCGATTATGTTCATAAAACACAGTCCTGTTTGGGAGCAGTATAACGGCGAGAGGACATGCTCCCTTTCTCTTTATATTGGATCTTTGTCCAGATACTGTGAAAAGTTTGGATGTGCCGTAAAACCCTCCATAGTCTGCCTTGTTTTAATATTATATGCCCACGGGGAGAAATGATGGTGTCTGTAAGTGTGACATAGCCTATTTAAAACAAGTTGTTGTTTCGTTTAGAATTTGATTAGAATGATTGCCTCTTTTTAGGCTTTATCAATAATTAATTGAATCTTGCTTATTAACAATGTTTGGCATGTCCATGTGGAACCGGTGCTGTACTGCCATGTCACTAAACCACTAATGTTATGTTAAAATGTCTGTTGATGAGCACACTTCTATATTAGTTAACCATAAACAGCACTCTCAATAAATCGTTTTCAGAAAAAAAAACAAAAAAAAAAACAGGAGAGACTATAGACTGCAGTTCCGCTTTTTGCCACAAGGCGGCAGGAGTACCTCAATGATGTAAACAGTGTCTAGCGCAGCAGCGCCGCGGTGATTGAGCTGACGTCGATCGACGATGAATCCGAGTCTAGAAGGCACCGATGTAACCGGCGCTGTACTGCAGCTCTGCGTTGTGTGTGATTGATTGGGACTATAGACGTGGACTTCGGAGATCAGGCTGTTTTAATGAATCAGAATTCTCTCTGCATCCATAAGAAAATACAAAATATTTGAAGAGCACAAATATGTTCTGCCCACTGTCGCCTCTTTCTCTCATAGTGCATCAAAATTATTTTTAGAATACCAAAAATGAGTACAGCCTCTCCTTATAATGTATCAACACACAACATACATTTTACATAGATAAAACCACATACCTGCATCCAAAAGAAAATACAAAACATCTGTAGAGCACAAACATGTTCTGTCCATTGTCGCCTCTTTCTACAACACAATACAAAGGACTGGGATCAGTGGAGGAGCCTAGCCATCGTTCACACATCCAATACCTTAGCTAGCTAGTAACCACATGTTGAACTGAACTGGGATCAGTGGAGGAGCCTAGCCATCGTTCACACATACAATACCTTAGCTAGCTAGTAACCACATGTTGAACTGAACTGGGATCAGTGGAGGAGCCTAGCCATCGTTCACACAGACAATACCTTAGCTAGCTAGTAACCACATGTTGAATTCACAATGTTAATATCATCCTAAAAAAGTACAATTACAATTGCATCTTAACAATACCATACACTTATGAGTAAACTCTAAATATACAACATGATTCATGAACAAAACACCGTGTGTCATGACTTTGTGCTTAAAGGAATCTAACTTTTCTAAAGATGACAGAAATAGCGTGCCTACCTCTCATAGTGCATCAACATGATTTGAGCAGGAGCACGCAGGGCAAAACGTTAAGTACACACTCTCCTATTCCCAGGATGCAGACATGCATAATAACAAATCACCGTGCTATAGTAATATATCGACCTGGTGAAATTCACAAACTACTTTAACAACTGTTACACATGCAATTTACAGTAGGCCTAGCCCCTATATCAGTGTGAATACTATTGAAGCCGTGCAATTACTTAGAACAATGTCAACTGCAAATGGGTTCAAGTTAACCAATTTAGCAAAGATAGGTTCGACATTTTATTCCGTTTCTGTAAGCCATTTAACAAACTATAACAGACTAACTTTGGAATTGGAGTTGTTTCCAAGGCAACACATAAAAGACAAATACATCAACTAAGGGTGTGTTCGTAAATTCGCTCTGGCTATCTACTCCGATTTCAGAGCACTCTCATCTGAGTGTGCGAGAGCGCAGAATAACTGACGAATTTATGAACCCTCAACACCTGTTGAATATGGCCGGTGTCAGTAAACGTCGGCCAAAAAAAGCGTAATTAAATTGTTGCCAGCAGCACAGTGAGTCACCAACGCTCTGGATAACATGAAAACAACCTAACCAGCTCTGCTAGGGCGAGTAAAATGCTCAGAGTGAGGTTGTTCTCTCATTTTTGTCTGGATGTAGCTAGCAAGCTAGACAACGTTAGCCGGTTAGCTTGGGTGCTTGACTGCCGCTGTGAGGTCAAAACGCTCGGATCAACGCTCTGAATTTACGAAAGGACAATATGACAATGCTGTGAATTTACGAACGCACCCTAAATACACAACTTGAAGCAACCACATATTTCTCCATGGAGCACGTTCTGATTGGCCAGTGAGGGGCCAAGCCTTGACACACCCACAACTTGTTTATTCATCAAAGCCCGCCCCTTTCGCGGCAATGCCAGAAGGTGCGCGGATAATTGTGATAGTGAAAATAGAAAAACTATTTCTGACACACTACCGCTTAGATTTGCCATTGCGTTAGGTTTGTTAAAATAGAGCCCATAGAATCATATTAAATCAATCTCTCTCACTCTCCATCCAGTCTGAAAAGGGAGATGCGTACGGTGGGCGATGACTGCGGGCTGCAGCCGGTCACCGTGGCGATGGCGTTTGTGTACTTTGAGAAGCTGGTCCTCCAGGGGCGACTCAACAAACACAACAGGAAGTTGGTGTCCGCCGCCTGCGTGCTCCTCGCCGCTAAGATCAGCAGCGACCTCAAGAAGCAGGACGTCATGCAGCTCATAGATGTATGTATAGTATTACTATCCCCTTTATGTGTATATGGTGTTTTTATTGTGGAATCTTTGTTTTGTTTATGATGGCTGGTTCTTGGACCAACATTAACCCTACTCCTTGACTAAACTAAGAATCTCCATTCAGGGTGCTTTTTAATCCCAAGAATAGGCCTATTCTGGGAAACATTTTCCATTTGAGAATAGTCATGTTGCTCCTTTGTATAGGGTTTCCTTTGTTACCTGAGGCTGTTGCCCTCTGACCCCCATGGCCTCTCTGACCCCCATGGCCCTCTGACCCCCATGGCCCTCTGACCCCCATGGCCCTCTGACCCCCATGGCCCTCTGACCCCCATGGCCCTCTGACCCCCATGGCCTCGCTGACCCCCATGGCCTTCTGACCCCCATGGCCCTCTGACCCCCATGGCCCTCTGACCCCCATGGCCTCTCTGACCCCCATGGCCCTCTGACCCCCATGGCCCTCTGACCCCCATGGCCTCGCTGACCCCCATGGCCCTCTGACCCCCATGGCCTCGCTGACCCCCATGGCCCTCTGACCCCCATGGCCCTCTGACCCCCATGGCCTCTCTGACCCCCATGGCCCTCTGACCCCCATGGCCTCTCTGACCCCCATGGCCCTCTGACCCCCATGGCCCTCTGACCCCCATGGCCTTCTGACCCCCATGGCCCTCTGACCTATGTGGCTCTGGCCAAAAGTAGTGCACTGTGTACTAGGGAATAGGGTACCATGTTGGATGTGACCTAGCTCTTTTTTAATAGCCCTTAACCTCATCCACTTTTTTTCTCTCTCTCTCTCTCTCTCTCTCTCTCTCTCTCTCTCTCTCTCTCTCTCTCTCTCTCTCTCTCTCTCTCTCTCTCTCTCTCTCTCTCTCTCTCTCTCTCTCTCTCTCTCTCTCTCTCCTCTCTCCCTTCTCGCTCCTCTCTTCTTCCTCCTCTCCCTCCTCTCTCCCTTCTCGCTCCTCTCTCTTCTCTCTCTTCCGGGCGGCAGGTAGCTTAGTGGTTAAGAGCGTTGTGCCAGTAACCGAAAGGTCGCTGGTTCTAATCCCCGAGCCGACTAGGTGAAAAATCTGTCGATGTGCCCTGGATAAGAGCGTCTGCTAAATGACTAAAATGTAAATGTTCTCTCTCTCTCTCTCTCCTCTCTCCCTCGTCTCTCTCCCTCCTATCCTCTCTCTCTCTTCTCTCTCTTCTGCTACACCTGCTGCAGAAACTGGAGGAGCGTTTCCGTATCAGTCGGCGAGAGTTGATCCCGTTTGAGTTCACCATCCTGGTTGCCCTGGAGATGGCTCTGTACCTGCCTGAGAGCACCATCATGCCACACTACCGACGCCTGGTACAGCAGAACTAGGACCACGCCCCTGCCACGCCCAATGCCACACCCACAGGAACAGGAGCCACACCTACTAGGACTGAAGACTGGACATGGGGGCAAAGTGGGGGGGTTAAAGTTCAGCAGTAGCATTGGGATCAAATGTGAGGTCTGTCACTTTACCACAGGAATACCAGTTACTAGTTAGCAACGTGAGTCATGACTTTACCACAGGAATACCAGTTACTAGTTAGCAACGTGAGTCATGACTTTACCACAGGAATACCAGTTACTAGTTAGCAACGTGAGTCATGACTTTACCACAGGAATACCAGTTAGTAGTTAGCAACATGAGTCATGACTTTACCACAGGAATACCAGTTAGTAGTTAGTAGTAATACTTCTCTCTCCCTCCTGCCAGTGTGTTAAAGGGAAAACAAATAACATCACACAAACATTTAACCAAAAATACATTTCATTTATTTATCCTAGCTTTCTAAGAGATGTATATTTATTCTATTGTATCTATTTCAGCGCAGCATAGGGGATATTTATATTATAACCAAACCATTTCATTATTTTGCACAGCCTTGTAGCTTAACTCACATAGGTCTTATTCCAGCATCATAACCAAACATCCATCTTTAGCCCCATTTAAACCATAATAACCAAGCATCCATCTTTAGCCCTGTTTACACCATTATAACCAAGCATCCATCTTTAGCCCTGTTTACACCATTATAACCAAGCATCCATCTTTAGCCCTGTTTACACCATTATAACCAAGCATCCATCTTTAGCCCCGTTTATACCTGGTTTTAACATGCGTCTGTTGTCCTGATCTTGTCCACATTCTGATTGTGCCCACATCTGTCGACAGGTGTAGACAATCAAAAGACACATTGCGATTTGATTGTGATTAGCTCTTCCTGACCACCTCCGGAGGCATCTTGTACGGATAGCCTTGAAGAGTCAACGAATCCTGACAACGAAAGCGTATACATTTGGCCAAAGTTACGGTTGTCCCACCCTGAAATATATCACACCGGTCAGTTGAGGTATTAATGCTTCATTCAAGACAACTGGGAACTGGGAACTTGGAAATCAACGGCTTCCGACGTCAGTGCGTTCAAGACAACTGGGAACTCCAACTGGGAAAAATCGTTTTGAACGGTCATCCAACTCGGAATTCCAAGTTGGAAACTCGACCATATTTCTAGAGCTCCGACTTTCCGACCTGAAGATCATGACGTCATGATTTTACCTTGTTTTTTTTTCAGAGTTCCCAGTTGTCTTGAAAGCACCACAATTATGGACAACGATACCGCTACAATTCCTCCAGAACTAAGATCTAAGATGGTCTTCATTAGAAACCATCTGCCTACTGGCATTGTGGTCGGATGCCAAAGTCCAATCAAAATTAGATCACCCATAAAGAAATAAAGTTATTTATGAAGAGATTTCGTCCCGAATGAGAGAAAAGGGGTTTCCCATCTTCCCACGTCCATTTCCAGCACAAAATCAAATATGTGAAAACATATTCAGAGCTTGATGGGAACGGAAGAACCCAGTGTCCACTTTATTCAGAGCTTGATGGGAACAGAAGAACCAAGTGTCCAGTTTATTCAGAGCTGGATGGGAACAGAAGAACCAAGTGTCCAGTTTATTCAGAGCTTGATGGGAACAGAAGAACCAAGTGTCCAGTTTATTCAGAGCTGGATGGGAACAGAAGAACCAAGTGTCCAGTTTATTCAGAGCTTGATGGGAACAGAAGAACCAAGTGTCCAGTTTATTCAGAGCTGGATGGGAACAGAAGAACCAAGTGTCCAGTTTATTCAGAGCTTGATGGGAACAGAAGAACCCAGTGTCCAGTTTATTCAGAGCTTGATGGGAACGGAAGAACCAAGTGTCCAGTTTATTCAGAGCTTGATGGGAACGGAAGAACCCAGTGTCCAGTTTATTCAGAGCTTGATGGGAACGGAAGAACCCAGTGTCCAGTTTATTCAGAGCTTGATGGGAACGGAAGAACCAAGTGTCCAGTTTATTCAGAGCTTGATGGGAACAGAAGAACCAAGTGTCCAGTTTATTCAGAGCTTGATGTGAACAGAATAACCAAGTGTCCAGTTTATTCAGAGCTTGATGGGAACGGAAGAACCAAGTGTCCAGTTTATTCAGAGCTGGATGGGAACGGAAGAACCAAGTGTCCAGTTTATTCAGAGCTTGATGGGAACAGAAGAACCCAGTGTCCAGTTTATTCAGAGCTTGATGGGAACGGAAGAACCCAGTGTCCAGTTTATTCAGAGCTGGATGGGAACAGAAGAACCCAGTGTCCAGTTTATTCAGAGCTTGATGGGAACGGAAGAACCCAGTGTCCAGTTTATTCAGAGCTGGATGGGAACAGAATAACCAAGTGTCCAGTTTATTCAGAGCTTGATGGGAACGGAAGAACCCAGTGTCCAGTTTATTCAGAGCTTGATGGGAACGGAAGAACCCAGTGTCCAGTTTATTCAGAGCTGGATGGGAACAGAAGAACCCAGTGTCCAGTTTATTCAGAGCTTGATGGGAACGGAAGAACCCAGTGTCCAGTTTATTCAGAGCTTGATGGGGTATTGGGTGACCCTCCCACACCCGCCCACTGTTCATTCTGGACAGTGATGTGTCCAGGAGGGAAAGCTGCTGTGAATAGTCTAATTCAGTTGATATATCAGAGATGAACATTAAACAGTGGTATTGTAATACAGTGGTTTGTCTAAGGAAATGTTCTAAAAGTCCACTCTCTTGATCTACAGGGGAACATTAGGGCTCCACATTATACCTTGATCTAAAGGTTCAGGGGAACATTATACCACATTATACCTTGATCTAAAGGTTCAGGGGAACATTAGGGCTCCACATTATACCTTGATCTAAAGGTACAGGGGAACATTAGACCTCCACATTATACCTTGATCTAAAGGTACAGGGGAACATTAGACCACATTATACCTTGATCTAAAGGTTCAGGGGAACATTAGACCTCCACATTATACCTTGATCTAAAGGTACAGGGGAACATTAGACCACATTATACCTTGATCTAAAGGTTCAGGGGAACATTAGACCTCCACATTATACCTTGATCTAAAGGTAGGGGAACATTAGGGCTCCACATTATACCTTGATCTAAAGGTACAGGGGAACATTAGACCACATTATACCCTGATCTAAAGGTACAGGGGAACATTAGACCCCATTATACCCTGATCTAAAGGTACAGGGGAACATTAGACCTCCACATTATACCTTGATCTAAAGGTACAGGGGAACATTAGACCACATTATACCTTGATCTAAAGGTTCAGGGGAACATTAGACCTCCACATTATACCTTGATCTAAAGGTTCAGGGGAACATTAGGGCTCCACATTATACCTTGATCTAAAGGTACAGGGGAACATTAGACCTCCACATTATACCTTGATATAAAGGTACAGGGGAACATTATACCACATTATACCTTGATCTAAAGGTACAGGGGAACATTAGACCACATTATACCTTGATATAAAGGTACAGGGGAACATTAGACCTCCACATTATACCTTGATCTAAAGGTACAGGGGAACATTAGACCACATTATACCCTGATCTAAAGGTTCAGGGGAACATTAGACCACATTATACCTTGATATAAAGGTACAGGGGAACATTAGACCTCCACATTATACCTTGATCTAAAGGTTCAGGGGAACATTAGACCTCCACATTATACCTTGATCTAAAGGTACAGGGGAACATTAGACCTCCACATTATACCTTGATCTAAAGGTACAGGGGAACATTAGACCTCCACATTATACCTTGATCTAAAGGTACAGGGGAACATTAGACCACATTATACCTTGATCTAAAGGTACAGGGGAACATTAGACCACATTATACCCTGATCTAAAGGTACAGGGGAACATTAGACCACATTATACCTTGATATAAAGGTACAGGGGAACATTAGACCTCCACATTATACCTTGATCTAAAGGTACAGGGGAACATTAGACCACATTATACCTTGATCTAAAGGTACAGGGGAACATTAGACCTCCACATTATACCTTGATCTAAAGGTACACCTGTTGCATCTCCATCATAGTCCATCCCATGCATCCCCAATACATTTGCAGTTCAGTTTAAATTCTGTAATGCTAGTATATATCTATCAACCCTTGATAAGTGAAAGAGACTGTTACTGAATTATAACTAATCAATGAGTTGGAGTAAACCAAACCACGGTCGTTCTCCCAGCATGTAAAAAAATACATCCTTTGGTGCAGTTAAGGCCTGTATTAAATAAGAATTGGACTCCTGGAATATAATGACATCATTTTAGAATGTATTTTATTCTATTCTGTGAATCTTTGAGCATTTTCCAGACAAATCGCTAGCAATAAAGTGCAGATTATGTCCAAACTGACACATCAAGGCACATACTGTAGCTTTCTGTAAGCATGAACGAGGCCACTGTCCAATACGAAGGAGTCTTTGGGCTACTGTTAGATTGAAATGTTATTCCTTTATAAAGCCTTTTTCCTTTGCACTTTTTATCCATTTGCTGGTTTTATTACATTTACATTTTAGTCATTTAGCAGACGCTCTTATCCAGAGCGACTTACAGTTAGTGAGTGCATACATTGTCATACTGCCCCCCCGTGGGAATCGAACCCACAACCCTGGCGTTGCAAGCGCCATGCTCTACCAGCTGAGCTACAGGGGACATGGCTTTATCCATTATCATAATTTGACCGTGCGTCTTGCTATAGGCTATCATGTTAAGACCTGCCTGAACACAACCAAAGCTCCTAGGCCTGCAAAGCTGTTTTACTCTTTTTAAAACAGAAGAATATATATAATACTATTGATTTGTACGGCTGTGGACATGTGGAGGATATGAGGACAGTAACCTCATTACTCCCAGACTTTAATCGTTGGATAACAACTACAGGCTGTAATGATGAGAGCGTAAAGCTGTTGACTACAAGAGGGTGCTGTTTTCTGTTCTACAG